CTGGGCCATCCTCCACTGCACTCCCTGGCCACAGCAGAGAACTGGCATGGAAGAGGGGCAACCGGGACAGAACCCGGCGCCCCAACCAGGACAAGAACCAGGGGGTGCCGGCGCCGCAGGCAGAGGATGAGCCTAGTGAGCCGCGGCACCGGCCAATTCCCTTCTTTTTGTACTTTGGTAAATGCACACGTAACATGGCACATGTCCCAAGGTGGGCAATTGGCCTGGCCGGTAAAGTGACACCCCTGCTCCAGGTTTCACTCTCCATTGCAGCTTCCTGTGCATGCAGACCCTGCGCCGCAGCAGTGCCAGCTGACAGGAGCTGGGTTCTTGCACCCATGTGCGCAGGCTCCCCGCTCGTGCCCAGGCCCAGCCCTGGCCCTTGCAGGCATCTGAGGCATGAAGCAGTAGGTAGGAGCTCGTTCTGTCTGTCTTTCTCTCTGTCTCTGTCTCTCTCCCTCTCAAATACGTAAACTTTTTTAAAGATGTATTTACTTATTTGGAAGGCAGAAATACAGAGAGAAGGAGAGAGAGTTCTCTCATCCACTGGGTCACTCCCAAAATGGCTGCAATGGCCAGGGCTGGACCAGGCCAAAGGCAGGAGCCAGGAGCTTCCTCCAGGTCTCCCACGTGGGTGCAGGGGCCCAAGCACTTGGGCCATCTTCTGCTTCCCCAAGCGCATTAGCAGGGAGCTGGATCAGAAGCGGAGCAGCCGATGCTTGAACCGGCGCCCATATGGGATGCTGGCACTACAGGCGGAGGCTTAACCTTCTACGCCACAGCGCCGGCCCCAAACTTTCTTAAAAATAAAAATTTCCGGGGCCGGCGCTGTGGCGCAGGGAGTAAAGGCGGCCGCTGCCCCGCCGCCCACCACACCATTCTCTGTCTCTGGGGTCTGATGGTCTGGGGGTCACATGTCCTGCTGTGCCTGCTTGTCTCCAGATCTGTGCCCCTGCTCGCACCCACTGCGGTGGCGTCTGCCTCCTGGCTGCTGTAAGCTTGGGGTGCACATACCTCGTCGAGACCCTTCTTTCAAGCCATTTGGGTAAATACTGAGCAGGTGTGACCACATGGTGGGTCATGCGGTCAATTCTTTCTTTGAAGCAACCTCCGTTTTAAGCTGAGAAAGGCAAAGGAGCGCAAACGCGGAATTGTAGCTGAGCTCCATCCAGTCAGCGCTGGGGAAGGCACGCAGGCACTGCGCCCGAGGAGGAAGTGCCCGGTACCCCATCCAGCCAAAAGAGCCTGTGGACCACGGGCCTGTCTTTCTTTCTTTTTCAAGCTGTGTTTATTTATTGGAAAGTCAGGGCTACAGAGAGAGGGAGAGGCAGAGAGAGGGGAGAGAGCCGGCCAGGGAGCAAGCCTGCCACATATACCCAAAAGCAACCGAAGTGGCGTGTGGCAGCAAGGCTGAGCCCCAAGTGCGTGTTAGGTTTCCTGTCTTCCGAAGACAGAGACCTGAGCTGCCTGAGCTGCCGGCAGCTCAGCAACCCGGTGAGGCCCCCAGTGGAAGGCAGGTGGGCCAGAGAAAGAGGGGGCGAAGGGAAGGCGGGGCAGGGTGGGGGACACGGCGCTGTGGCCCAGCGGGTTAACGCCCTGGCCTGAAGCGCCGGCATCCCATATGGGCACCGGTTCTAGTCCCGGCTGCTCCACTTCTGATCCAGCTCTCTGGTGTGGCCTGGGAAGGCACTAGAAGATGGCCCAAGTCCTTGGGCCCCTGCACCCGCGTGGGAGACCTGGAGGAAGCTCCTGGCTCCTGATCGGTGCAGCTCCGTCCGTTGCAGCCAATTGGGGAGTGAACCAACAGATGGAAGACCTCTCTCTCTCTCTCTCTCTCTCTCTTTCTCTCTGTAACTCTTTCAAATAAAAATAAAAATAAATAAATCTAAAAAAAAAGAGAGAAGAAAGGAAGGCCAGTAGTTCCTCTCTGAAGGGAAAGAAGCACACGTCATTGGACTGCAAAGAGGGTGGGGAATGCTGGACTGTTTTTAACTTCTTAAAGATTTATTCATCTGAAAGGCAGAGGAGACGGGGGGGGGGGGGGGGGGGGGGGGG